TTTTTATTTTTTTCTTTTCCCCCCCCCCCCCAGTTTATATTTCTGCTGGCGCCCTCGAACGTGACGTTGTATTTATTTATTCGCATTATTCACATAATAATAATAATAACAATAATACATTATAGACGCGTAACAACACTAGGTATAAATATTGTATATTATAACATTATGCTCCGTGTACACCCTGTGTGCATAAAAAAAAACAATATACGCTGTATAATAACATTAAGTATAATATAGTATATTGTGGGCAATAATATCATGGGGGGTTTTTTTTTTTTAAAAAAATTTTATACATAGAACAAAACGGGGAAAACAACACGCGCGAAACCCTTACGGCCGACCGGGAGTGAAAATTCGATTACAATATTTTTAAACAAACATTTTTTTTTTTTTATTTTCATATACAATATAATAATAATAATAATAATAATAATAATAATAATAATAATATAATAATATGTACGTGTACGTTTACCGTAACACCCGATACAGTTTGTTATTATCGCGGAAGTACGATAAAATGTATCGCCATAGGAACTGAACGCGCGTGCGCCAAAGACGATAAAAATATAACTCGTTATCATAACGTTGTTATCATTGTCGGCGGTGCTGCGGCGCCGCGCTGTCGTCGTCGTCGTCGCCGGCGGCGGAGGCTGCTGCTATTCCATGTGCCGGTACTTGTGGGCCGTCATCTGGGACAGGCCCAGCACGGCGTACTGGCAGCTCAGACAGTGATAGTGCGTCTGCTTGCCCGAGTGCACGCACCCACCCGGCTGTCCGCACGCCTGCGCGGGCGTGAATTTCTCGAATCCCGCGGCCATGATCGAGTCCAGTTTCTGGTGCTGGCGCCTGTGGGCCACCACCTTGTTGGTGTCCGTGCACACGAACTCGCACTTGAGACAGTGGAAGTGCGACGCCTTGTTCTGGCCGGTACCTGCAGGAAAATACGACGCTGTTACAATTAAACAACATTAATTAGAAATATATTAGTATTGGTTGAATAAACGGGCGCAGATGATAATTATGAATATTATCATTTTTGTATTCGCGGCTGTTCGATAAACCGAGAGCGTTTCGCGCGATAACGATTTGTACTCACTTATGGCGGATGTGTATGCGCAGTCGGCCCGTCCGCAGGACACGTTGGCTCTGTACTGTTGAAAGTCGCCCCCCATCAGAGTGTCGAGTCTGTAAACAAATTAAAAAAAAAAAAAAAAACAAAAGTCACGTATGGTTGTCTTTAGTTTACGACCAACTCAGACCGTCTCGTCGGGCAACGGCAACATACCTTTCGTGTCTGGCCGTGTGCTGTACGAATCTTGTCTTGTCGCAGAAACTGTAACCGCAGTCTTGGCGCATGCAGTGAAAATGGGTCTGGTGTTCCCTGTAGCCGCAGTGCGTGTAATGGCAGTCCTCGTTGAACCTGAACCTCAGGTATCCCTCGGGAACCGGTTCGTCCTTGAGTATGCGCATCGAGTTCTGGACTCGGGCCTTGCGCATTTCCGGGCTCATGTCCTGGGACGGCGACACCGGGCCGTTGTGGTGAGGCGGCGCCGCGGCGGCCGTCGGGTCGTTCCCGACCACTGCCGCCTCACTGGCTCGCTTCAACAGTCCGTTGGTCAACATGGTCTGGTGGTGGTTGAAACCGGGCGGCGCGAACATCAGACCTGCGTAATGGACAATGTATACGGGCGCGTTAGCATAGGTTTTACGATGTGTTGGGCTGTGTAATATAGGCATTTCAGCCGTTATAGCGCCGCGACGAGTGCTTACCGGTCGGCGAAGAGTACATGGCTTGGATCGCGTGCGGCATGAAAGGCAACGCCTGAGACGTCATCAGGGACGCGAACTGCTGATGGTTGGCCATGGCGGCCGCCATCGCGGCTCCGAATCCCGGGGGGTACGGCGAGTGCGGCATGCCGGCCGAGTTGTTGTCGCCCGCGATCGGCATCATGGTCAGAACTGCGGTTTCCCAGAAAATAAACGATGTTAGTAATACGAACGCGGGTCCCAGTGCATTACTATGCGGCAGGCGGGAGGTGAACACCAGTACTGTATGGGTACCGCGATAATAACATCCGAAAATCTTATACGACCTGACAATGCTCGCGCGCAACGAGGGGGGGGGGGGGAAGTCGACGTTTTTTTCCAAAGGTTCGCTTCAGCGCGTAAACGCCTATTTTTTTCGGTTCGTTAATTTAGGTCTGAGGAGTATTTTTTTTTTTTTAACAAATCTAACTAAATCCGAAAAGACCGGTTTCGGTGCGAATTCTAACGTGTCATAGACACGAGGTTCATCATGGTTGTATGGTTACCGTACCGATGGGTACACCACGGCGGCGACGTGATCACTCTGTTAAGTTTCAAAACTCATATTGCGTTAACAACGTGTTATCAATCTAGAATCCGTAACTAGCCGTGATCCCAGTCACGCGCTAAACCCGAACCCGGATAAAACCCATCGATTTTTGAATGTCTTTCGATGTATTGATTTTCAAACGCGATTCTCGAAGGGCGAAAATGTCGGAATAAAAAAATTATAATTTCATTCCCGAATCGATCGTGTTCAGCACAATCAATACGATTTGTGTATTTAATCAAACATGTGTTCCTTTATTTCATCACAACCCCCCCCCCCCCANCCCCCCCCAAATAATTACCAGTGCGCACGAATCGCCTCCCGAACCCGGGTCGTTCGTCTTTTATTTTTCGAATTGTTGCCCGTGTGTGTTATACACGCACGTGATGCGGACGGGAACCCCTTTTTGGAAAATCTTATAAGGCCTGGCCCGGCGAATATGATATCCCGGCGAACGCGTCGGTGACGACGATCGCGGACACGAGATACAGTTTGCCAGGGTGCCCACACAAAAGATGCGCGTGTGCACGTCTCGGCGCCAGGACCAAACCCGCGGTCGGGGATCTCGACGCCTGCAATGCGGAGTCTGCATCATTGGTAACCGATACGCATATAATATACGAATTAGATACCATAATATTGTTATGTAAACTCCAGACCGAATAATAATAAGCGGCGATGTAGGTATTGTGTGTACGGAAACACTAATGACGAGTTTTTTTTTTTATTACCGTCACGCGTATATTACATAGAACGATTCGGAGCGAAACACAATGCCGCAGATGCGTTTTAACGGAGGGTCGCGTTAGGTTAGGTAGGTACATCGATAAAAAAAAAAAATAAACAAATAGACCGACTCACCCGGCGGATGCTGCGCGATCTCTTCGGTGTCGTCGTTGTTGTTGTTGTTGACGTTCTCGGTTTTTTGCATAAACGTCGGTATGGCGCCCGGCGTGTGTTTGATGATGTGTGGCTTGAGTTTGTCCACTTCCGAGAAAGCCTTGAAAACGAAACAGATAAATGAGTTTTTAATAATCGTAATAATAATAAAACGTTTTATTGTTGTTGTTATTAATATTATTATTATTTTTTTTTTATCAATCGTCGGCGCGCGTGTCGAATATCGCGCGGTACGTTTGCGAAATACGCAAAAAAAAAAAAAATTATAATAATTGCAAGAAAAAAATCGAATTATTCTGTAAAATTATTTCGACGACGACGACAAACAAAACTCTCACCGTTAATATTTCACGCGATCAGCGGCGCAGCAGCCAGTGAACCAGAGTTAATTTTAGGGAAAGAGAAGGACGAGGAGGTTATGTATATTTCAAACATATTTCTGGACAGGTATTCGAGATAATAATAAAATTACTCTAAAATAATACACTGTTAGTAATAAATATAAAATAAAAAGAATATAAAAATGCAATATTTCACGCATACTCGTATCTCGCATAAAAAATCTAAATATCAATAAAACAACTCCGATGTTGAGCTTCAAGTTTGATAACAGATCAATTCGCGGTTATATGTGTGACTTGTGCCCGTTCTAATTGTATCGACTGAAAAAACAATTCTAAAATGAGATCAACCGATGTGGTACCATCCGACGCTAAATTTCACACGGCTCATCTGTACACCGAAAATTGTCGAAATCGACTCTGAGCAGTTTCTCGCATAAAAACCGTCAATATTTGACGGGGCCTACGCTTATGCGAACGATCGAAACGAAACGACGAGAGGCGTATAGAAACCTGATAATATTTATCTTTACTGATAGTGTCATTATAGGTAAATAGTCATACGCCTTTTAGATAATTTTTATTATTCTAACGTGATATTTTCAACGTACAAACCGATATCGGATCTCGTCGGAACAATGAATTACCTATAACAACAACGAACGCGATGCAGCGACGTTCGTGTGTCAATTTTCGAAAACCGAAAGGGATTTTGATCATTACCTATATATATATAAGCAAAAGTTTGCAACTCCGGATGTAATATTATATAATATCTAATATTTTAGATTCTGAGTGGAAACGAGGTGATGTTTGTTATATATATATATTTTTTTTATATGAACACTTTTTCTACCAGAAAGCATAATCCGATTATCAAGTATAGTAGTTTTTCTAAAAGGAAATTTTCTCTGGTTGGTACTTTAAAGAGGTATTTTTTGAAATTCTCATTAATACTCGAGATAATGAGGAAAAGTTCGGTCCTCAGGTTAGAAAAGATTGAAAGATTAAAAATGAGACTGTCATTGGCAACCGTTTTTATTTATTTTTAGTTATTATGAAGTTTTTATTATTTTAATCTTTTCTTAAACAATCACTGTTGTCACGGAAACGAAAATTGTTTTAATCATTTTACCATAATATGAGATAATACCATATATCGTATTGTTGACAAAGCAACGCTATCAACTGAACTCGGCTCAGAATCGTTTTTTCGTTAGCAATGGTTTATCGTTGCTTACAGATATACATTGAATTCCCGTCTGTAGCCCGCCTCTCAA